TATTTGAGTTTGTTTGGAAGTATTGAAAGAAGAAGAAACCTACTTGAAAGGGGCTTAGAATAGGGAAAGTTAGTACACACTACACAGCTTATACTATGATGAACTAAAATTCTAGCACCTATAAATTATAGGCTCCTTTTATGGAGGGATTTTTACTCATAATGTAAGTTTTTAATCGTTTTATTGACTCAAAATCACATCAAAATAATAATAATAAATATATAAAATGGATAGTTTTCAATACAAATTTAACAGTTTAAAACAAAAATTTATCAGCAATTTATTTATTTTAAGTCTTAATGTAGAAATCTACTAAATTTTAATCATTTATACCATGTAACATCGCAATTTTACAAATAATCTTTTTTCTAGGGACTACTAGACTAGCTATTTCTGTGTGGCCATGTTTGCCAAAAGCAAATAGGGCAGGGGAAAAGAGAAAAGGAACAAGGGTTTGAACTGAAACAAGGATGTCCATATCGCATATGTCTTTGCCACTTTTCTTTATGTACCACGGGTGCTTTATTCACAAAGTCTGTGTTCCAATCTTCCCGTTTGTCCCTTCAATAACCCTGTTTATTTTACCGATTCAAATTTAGAATTCGAGTTTTAGTATAGTAAAAAATCCTAAAAAACAGTCACATATAATTTTTTTACTACAGTAAAAAAGCTCTTACATAAATTCACATCTCAACTCGAATTAAAAACGCAAATCAACGAACTAAACGAGTCCTAAACAATGATCCTTCAAATATATTATTGTTTCTTTTATGTTTTCTAGAGGTAGCTTTTTATTTCTCAAGACAGAGCGGACAAAAACTGTTCTTATTTATTACAAGATTAAGAAAGCAAGATTGGTAAAAATTGTGGATTCTAAATAAATCTCATACATTAATTAGAGAATCAAATGATTTCAATATATTGGTGTTTTGCTAAATGCTTTATATATTATACACCTATAAAAATGTGACATTAATAATAGTTTTCGATACAAATTTAACAGTTTAAAACAAAAATTTATCAGCAATTTATTTTTTTTAAGTCTTAATGTAGAAATCTACTAAATTTTAATCATTTATACCATGTAACATCGCAATTTTACAAATAATCTTTTCTCTAGGGCCTACTAGACTAGCTATATCTGCGTGGCCATGTTTGCCAAAAGCAAATAGGGCAGGGGAAAAGAGAAAAGGAACAAGGGTTTGAACTGAAACAAGGATGTCCATATCGCATATGTCTTTGCCACTTTTCTTTATGTACCACGGGTGCTTTATTCACAAAGTCTGTGTTCCAATCTTCCCGTTTGTCCCTTCAATATTTGAATCATAATAATGATTCTTTTAGCTACTTAGGTCCCATTTATTTCACCGATTCGAGTTTAAAATTCAAATTTTATTATAGTAAAAAATTCTTAGAAACAGTCACATTTAACTTTTTTGCTACAGTAAAAAATTCTCACATAAAATCACATCTCAACTCGAATTAAAAATTCAAATCAGCGAACTAAACGAATCCTTAAATGTGGTCCTTAAAATATATTACTGTTTCTGTTATGTTTTCTAGAGGTAGCTTTTTATTTCTTAAGACAGAGTGGACAAAAACGGTTCTTATTTATTATAAGATTAAGAAAGCAAGATTGGTAAAAATTGTGGATTCTAAATTAATCTCATACATTATTAATTAGAGAATCAAATGATTTCAATATATTGGTGTTTTGCTAAATGCTTTATATATTATACACCTATAAAAATGTGACATTAATATGGTTGATAAAATAACATGTAGACATTAAAATAAAAGTTGTACGGTGTAAGAAATCGAAGTCATTGTCCATTGATCAACTACTTAAAACCGTATGGTAATGAAAATTCAAAAGCATTAATAACGGATCTTATCATCTAGGACAAGGCATGAATTTCAAGTTTCGACTCATTCTATTAACAACTTAAAGAATCAACTTAATTGGTGCAAATTATATGAAACATTTGGATTTCACTCGCGCAAAATAGACCACCATAACCGCACCAAATTTTCTCAATACATAGCAAAGCCACAAATTAAATCTGACACTGCTTTGGTAAAAACGACATTAATTAAATCTGACACTGTTTTCCTAAACACGATTCATCAACTATTCCATGGATCTTAGTACTGAATTATTGGAAATAAGGTCCGTATCCTTCTCAGAAGATACACATTTCCTTTACTGAAATCTTTAAATAATCTACAAATCGACTCCCTTTTTCTCTCTCAAATAATATTCTCAACTCCTACTTGTCCAACATTACTTAGAGAATTTCTCGATCACAAGAAAACTGTGCAAATAGAAACGGCGCCACTTGTGTGTGTGTGTCTATA